ACGAATCTCGTCCGGCAGGCCATTCCATAGTCTGGGAGCAGTCACAGAGCACGTCCAGTGTTTGGGGATTTGCTGGCCATGGAATAAGTCTGGTTAGGATTTATTTGGGCTTCTACCATTGTTTGTGAGGGGTGCTGCACCTTATCAGAAAAAGGGCTGGGATGCTTCTCTGCTATGTTTCCTTTGCTGCATCATTGACCATCCATAAAGCTTATGCTGTAGCAGTAACATCTGAGAGCATTTAGCATCCAAAGCACCCTTGGAGAGGCTTGGAACTGCACCCGGTTCTGGCATAAGACAGACATTATCACTAGCATCCAGACAGTAAACATCAGGAAGAGCGACAGCTAGTGACCCAATGTCAGAGAGCCAGTATATCCATTCCTGAGCAAGTGCACAGATGATGATCACAGATTTTAAAGACTCCTTTAGCAACCATGAAGGCTAAAACATCAGGGCCACAGGGCTAATGCTCAGCAGTTTTGTATCCATTTTGTTCCAACAGGAAAGAAATATGCATGTACTTAACTTTTCGTCTGAAATTAAATAGACATAAAATAACATTTTCTATTCTATTTCTTTAAAAAGAAAAAAAAGCTCCTAATCTTCTACTAGTGATTTGGATTCTTTAGGCTCGGTGGTATACAACAGTGGCTCTTGACTAATGGTACATATATCACCTTTGGGATGCGAAAGTACTCTACTGGGTAGGCAGGATTTTTTATTACCATTACCAATTATTTCAACAGATTACAATTTCCACCTACTAAAGGGGTGGATTTATTATTTTTGTTTGTACATATTCTGGTCAATGCCGCTGCAGGCTGGAATTCTGTATCAGCTATTTTGTTAAATGTACTTAACTAAGAAAGTTCTGAGAGCGAGTGTGGTGCAGTGGTTTGAACATTGGACTAGGAATCTGGAGAGTATGGTTCGATTCCTTGCTCAGCCATAGAAACCCACAGAGTTGTAGTCCAATGCCCAAGCCACTACACCATGCTGACTCTTATCTGGTACTAGCAATGCCCTTTTAAAAAAGAAATCCCTATTTTAGGGGCATGCACCTGAGATATTCTCATTTTCTCCAATGAAATAATGGTTGTTGAATGAGCTGTCTTATGAAGAATGCTGGTATCTATATAATTGTCTGGTTGCAGTCATAATAGATTTAGGCTGGCATCCTATTTGTTTGGCCATTGCAGAGGTTGGAATTCTTTACTGACCACACAGTGACCGAAATCCTTCCTAACCAACCTTTTAAATGATGCAGCCCCCTGAACATGGTCATTTCCATCTCAATGGAGAGCAGCGGAGTCTGCAGCGGGGTGCATCCAGCTATTTTCCTGAAACTGGACTTGCTCCAAGGATGTCATCTGCAGAGACCTCCCTAGAGAGGTCCTATGGACATCCAATTACAGTGATTCCCAAACTTCAGTCCTCCAGGTGTTTTGAACTTCAGCTTCCAGAAGCCCCAGCCAGTTTGGTCAAAAGTCAAGAATTCTGGGAGCTAAAGTCCAAAACATCTGGAAGACCAAAGTTTGGGAACCACTGGACTACAGGAAAATAGCTGGATGTATATCTATAGCTCTCCAGTAACATGGAAATGGCTGTGTTCAAAGTATTGCCTCATTTAAAGGTGAGGTTGAAGAGAAGATAGCAGCAGGAGATGTACCTACAAAGAAGTAGCTGCATGAGAGACACATGTCTCCTGACATAGGATCTTTGTCATGGTTTAACTTTTTAAATGTTTACCCTGTGCTTTACATATCAGAAGAATGCCATACACCAGGTATGTATCCTCAGCTACAGTGATGGAATAGTTTATCTACAGTTCTCAAAAACAAAGATCTCTCTCCTCTGGAGCGTTGACTAAGAGTGTCATCTAAATGATGGTATCTTTTTGCAATGTGTAGGTCAGCAGCCATGGGCTCTGTTGGGGGAGACCACTTCAAAGATATCAGCCCCATGGTGACTCCTGAGGGCAACGTAGTGATGAGCTTCAGCTTCGACAGCTACCAACTGGAGGAGGAAGAACTCCAGGCTAAAGCATGTCAGGCCAAGGGTGTCCTCACCTTCATGGAGCCAGGTGAGGGTTCAATACCTGGTTGCATATCTTCTTTAAAAAAGAAATGTCTTGATATCCATCCTACGAAGAATGCGTATGTATAGAATCATGTTTGCACTGCAATGCCCAGAATCCCCCCAGCTAGCACACTTGCTGGGGGATTCTGAGAGCTGTCGTCCAAAAAAGGAAGTTTTCCAAGCTCTGGGAGACTGCCATCTTCAGCCACAGCTAACAAGGTATCCTGGAGTATGGATGCCAATAGTGTTCCTTTCCACGATACTTGTAAAGTTTATATTAGCATATTTTGGTTTTGCCTAAAGTGTGAATGATGTAATATCTTGCTGAGCCAAATTCTACCAGTTCATTTCCAGACAGAATTCAAAGTCCTGGTTATAGCCTTTGATATCTTATGCAGCTTGGATCCAGACTGTCTGAAAGACCATATCTCCCTCTATGAGTCTGCCTGATCTTTAAGATCAGCAAGGGACAGCTTTCTCTCCATTCCACATTTGGTGAGACCATGGAAGAGAGCCTTCTCGGTGGGTGCTTCCAAATTGTGGAACTCCCTTCCCCAGGAGGTCCATCTGCCCTCCTCCCTGCTATCTTTTCCCCAGCATGTCAAAACCTATTTAATTAGGAAAATATTTGCTTTTTAATGTGTTGCATCAGATGGAGCTTTTAAGGGGGTAGTGGTGTTGTGCCTCTATTTTATTAAATTTTAAATGTGTTTTAACTTGTGTTTTTACCCTAGCATTTTTAAATGGAATTCAAGTTTAACTTTTGTATTAACTTTTATATTAATAGCTTCTTTAGTAGTTGTTGTTGCATGCCTTCAAGTCATTTCCAAATTATGGTGACCTTAGGGCAAACCTATCATGGAGTTTCCTTGACAAGTTTTGTTCAGAAGAGGGTTGCCATTGCCTTCTCCAGAGGCTGAGAGTATGTAACTTGCCTAAGGTCACCCAGTGGGTTTCATAGCCAAGCTAGAAACTGAACCCTGGTCTCCAGAGTCATAGTTCCAACACTCCAACTCCTATGCCACGCTGGCCATCATTAGTTGTATTGTACTTTTAAATGGCAGCGAGCCTAGTTGAAACCTGGGTAGAAAAGTGAGATATTAAGCAAGTAACTAAGTTAATGTAGTTTGGTTCAAATCCTTTTAGTAGATGGCTGTTCTGTACAGGGAACATACAGGATAGAATTCAGCCTCATTGCAGTACAATCCTCTACAGTGGCTCTCAGAAGGAAGTCCCATTGTGTTGAATGGGGCCTATGTCCAAGTAAATGAGTGCAAAGGATTACTAGATGCTAGATAGTGGCAGCTTGTAGTCTCCCTGTCAGTGGGATGGAGGATTCAGTCTAGTTCTTGTTTGTTTATTTTATTTATTTCAAGGATTTATATCCGACCTTTCTCCCAGAAAGAGATTCAAGGCTCTTCACTAGCTTTAAAGGAGCTGTCCAAGGTGCTGAACGTGAGTCAAGTCCAGCAGTTACCCAAGTTCAGAAATACAGGCTTCAGTAGTTTAAATCCAGCAAACCTTTATTCAGTACCTATAGGTCCACACCTGAGATGTCCGTTGTGATGGCAAGTAGATTTCAAAGATATAGCCATCTTAGTCTGTAGAATCAGTATGTAGACAGATCTTGTAGCACCTTTGAGACTAACTGAAATAAAGAAGTTGGCATCTGAAGAAGTAGACTGGAGTCTATGAAAGCTCATGCTGCCAACTTCTTTATTTCAGTTTTTCTCAAAGGTGCTACAAGATCTCTCTAAACAGCAAGGGTTAACAGTGCCTGATTAAACCACACATAATTTCAAATTATTGGCGGGCTAATTGTTCATTCGTTACAAACTCAAAACAGCGTCGGTTCACTCATTTTCTCGCCTCCTTGTTCCTTCAGCCGTTCCTCCCAGAAGAATGACTTTGGCTAGTTTTAAACCAGAGGTAGGCAACCTTTCCCCTTTAAGGGCCGAGGGACCTCAGCTCCCAGAATCCCAGGAGCTATTGGCCAACATGGGACTATTGGCCAACATGGCTGAGGCTTCTGGGAGCTGAAGTCCCTCGGCCCTTAAAGGAGACAGGTTGCCTACCCCTGTTTTAAACCATACTTGCCTCCCCTACTTTGTTATTATATCACCTGTCAATGCAATAACCACTTCCTTACAGTAATTGCTTCCAAACAGATACAGATTAGCTGACAAAGAGCAAAGAACCCTTGAACCTTCAGTCTAAGGAGATGGGGTAAGGAACCACACCTGTTTCAAGTGATCCCCATAGACCATTTTCCTGCTCCTGAGACCCTGCGGAGGCCACATGGACAGCCAAAAGAAATGAAAGAATGAACCCAGAAGTGGCTGGATATCCAGCTGTGGTTTTGAAAATGCCATTTTTAAAATGTCAAAGAGTGCAGAAGGTCCCTGTAGCCTATTTGAAAGGTGAATCACTATTTCTGAAGGTTTCCAGGAGAGAGAATTAACACTTTCCTGCCAGAAAAAGGAAGATGCAGTTGAATCTTTGGGAGGAGGAATTGTCAGAGGCTGCAAAAACAACTTTATGGGGTGCTCTGTGCCCATTCCTGATTTAGATCACTGTTATAAACAGGGCACAAACATGTTTGGTAGGTCAGCTCCAGCCTAGACCTATCATCTTTCCATTATGTTACTGTCTGTTGAGCCATCTTCACACAGACAAAATCTTCTATTTGCCTAGTTTCCAGTAGACAAGGATTCAGTTTTCCTGCCTCTCGGCATATTCGGCCTTTTCTTGCTTTGCACGGTGCTATTTGGTTACGTTGTATTGCAAATGTCTGCTATTTGAACACCTCCCGGGTATCAGCTGAAAGGTTGTAATTTGCCAAATGGAATTTAATCAAAGTGGTCTTTATCATGTAGGGTACATCATCCCTCCCCTAGGCACTAGAGACCCTCAAAAAGCCTGCCATTTTATAACATTAATGCCAGCATTTTATAAACTAAAGCTGAAAGTGGTGGTTCAATCCCTCCTTTTCAATCTGGAATCAGAAAGTGGTGGTTAGCTGCTCTTTCATATTTTCCACATGCAATATGGCACTACATGAACTTTCATTTGGCCTGACGCATACCCTCCAACATCTCAAAGATGAAAACTGGGATGCATGTGGCCAAGCAACATCAAAGTGTGATCAAAATGGCAAAAGTTATTAATGAGGAAAAACACACACATTAGGAGAGGGGCATAGTGTTAGCTTTAGAAAAAAAATCTTCTGAATCATGTTGAATTCCTGTTCTTTTTTTGTGGTGCAGAAACCTATCTCCATTCTTTCCCTGTTATTTGGTACCAAACTTTCTCTTAAAGAAATAATGCCCAGGAACACATCCACTTTGTTAACTGAAGTATACCTATATAGGGCTCTGGATTGCCTAGAGATGCCTGAAAACTAAGTAAATAAAACAAATTCCCCTTTGATAAGTGCAACGCAGGCTAATCACTAGAGCTGGGCTAGACCTTGTTTCACTTACAACAGAAATATGGTCAGAATTTGTAATCACCTTGCTTGGTGTATATAGATTTTTGCATCTCGTAATGCTCAGTTGTGTTAGGGATAGAGAACCATTTCTTCTAAGAGATTTTCCCTGCGTTGGAATTTCGAATGAGATTTTCTGCATAGGTGATCAGTTTCCAGGCAGCTCCAGCTAGCATGCTCTGTAAAGCAAGTTGATGCTTTAGAGCTCCTAAATATTAGCCGCATTAAATAAAACTCTAGTTGATTGCCATGAAATGTGGATTTAAAATGAGAGTGCCATTTATAAAACAATGCCATGCTTCATGAACCAATAAATGAATCACCTTTATGAATTTGGCTGACATTTCAGGTTGGGAAATCATTTCGTACAAGGTGATTCAAAT